TCCACCTAATATTTGTGCCCTTACGGGTTCATACTCAGATTTCAGCCCTACTAAGAATCTGGTCACATCCAACTGCTCTCTTTGTTGTTAATGAATTTTGACATCAGGTGTAAGAGGATGATAAACATTCAACTCATTTCATAAATTTCTCATACTGGCATAATAGTCCTCAAGACTCTGATTCCCTTGTTGCAGATTGATGTACTCTTGGTACAGTTGGTAAACCCTTGTAGTGTTATCTTGTCCAGAATATAGTTTTCTTGCATGATCCCAGACTTCCTTGGCTGTACCTAAAACATGAAGTTCACACTAATTTTGTACTCCATGTTGTTCCATAGCCAAGTCATAATTTGAGCATCCTCCTGCTCCCATTCATCATATCCTGGAGAATCAATTGAGGGTTTATCTTCCCTCACATGTTTCACTTTCTTTTTGGCTTTCAGGAAAACTTCAACAGACTTAGCCCAAGGGACATAATTCTCACCATTCAGTTTTATAGAGGTCATCTACACATTCAGATAATTAGAAGGCACCATCACACTTGATTTGTATTCACTACTGTCTCCCATGACTGCACAAAAAAACAGTGGGAGGTTGTACCACAAAATTGTTACTCTACTGCCCTAATAAATCACCACACTCCACACGAATGACTGAACACCACTAGGGTTCCTAGTACCAGGTTTCAGTAGCAACACACAACTATTCACCACTGTTTCAGCAATAATATTCACAACTGTTCACCACTTTTAGCAACAGCACTACTGTTGCCGTTTACTGTCAGCACTAGAAACCCTCACAACACACCTCACGAATAATATTTTTAGTTCAGCAACATATAAAAGAAACTTGCTACATACCACAACTTAGTTCGAGGATCATGTACCTGTCGAGTAGAGGGTACCAAGTCTGCACTATCACCATCACAAAACCAGCCCTCTTCGAATTGCGAGTAGAGGGTTTTCTACCAACCACACAAAACCACAACGATTGCACTGATTGGAGGCATGGAAACCCCCAAAAGGAGAAAACGACCAGTCCTTTTCTTCCTTTCTGGAAAACTCTCTAAATATCAATGAGAATTCTGCAAAACCCTAGAGAGGAATGCGCAGAACAGAGAGAAAATGAGACAACTGATCTGAACTGATTATCGTGGCTCTGATACCATGATAAAACTCAGATTAGATGTTCGTATATGTTCAGATCAAAAGAAAGAGAAGGAAAAGAGAGAGAGAGAGAGAAGGAGAAGGAGAAAGCGAAGAAAAGGAGAAAAGTCACAGCCGAACTAGAGAGAAAAATCTCAAAACCTCTAGTCGGCCATTCTTTTATTTATACTGTTCTATGATATACAAGGATTACCATTGTGCCCTCATTTAACATCAGCAGAGCAATACATATATAACTAAACATAAAAGGACTGTACCACCCTTGTACAGCCGACTCTAACAACAATGTTTTGTACAAGGCAATACATTGGTTAAAGACTCTGGATTTGTTTGATCATTTCTCCTTTACTAACTATTGGAGGGATTGGTTATCAGTAGCAAGTTGTTCTGTTAGACAGTTTTGTATGCCCTTAGCTTCAACTGGACACTTAATGAGACTCGTGTAAGTTTAGAATGTTCACAGCCAGTGGATCGGTCTGGGGAGACCTATCCTGACAAGGCTGACACTGTAGTGCCACCAAGTCGGTTGGGGTGGCCTGTCTCAGCTAC